GCAACGCGACAAACCATTTGTATGTAATGCGAACGTAGCAGTCATCGTTCGTCAAGCGTCAATTGCAGATATACCAAACAGGATTACAAAAAAAAATATAATACGAATAATAAAACAGAAAAAATATATCAATTTTCTTCTTCTATTGTGATATTTAAGTAATAATTTTTTGGTTATTTTTTTTTGTACACTCGCTTGAAATATATTTATCGTGACTTTAGTGCTTTCGTCGCGATTGTGACAGTGTGTTTTCTTGGTGTTTTTTTTTTTCATCCCGTGCTCGTCGCTCATTTGGACGAGTAAACCATAAAGTGGAATACTATTTCTTTGCTGCGGGGTAATAATAATTCGCATTTTAACATTATAAACATTTTTGTTGTTGGCTTTTATTACGTACACGTTCTATTTTAAAGCGTCAACAACAACAAAATCGAGCAAAATTGTTTCGCTTTAATTTTCATCGCTCTTCTGTTGTTTGTTTATGGCCACTTAATTTGAAAAAAAAAAAAAATATATATATATTTATATATATTGAAAAATAAGAAATGATTTTCATTTGCGTGATATGAAATCCCTTAATTTTCCATTCACATAAAATATCTCACATTTATTGTGTGTTAACTATGTGCTCTGTTGCAAGTTTTGCATTTTGGAAATGTGAAAACATCAAGCAGTTGACATTTACAGTGTTGTAAAAATGCGATCGTTGTTAGCATCAATTCGATTTCCCGACATGGTCGCCATATTTGTTTTGTTGTTGTTGTTGCTGCTCTGCTGCTTGGTTGAGTGCGGGATATTCGAGTGATATTGCATGTTCTCTCGGCGTTTTTTTCTTTGCTTCTTCTTCTTCCTCTTCTGCTTCTTCTTCTATATGGATCGTCCGTAATCCGTGTTTGAGTGTATGAGGCCTGCCTGCCAGCCTGTTTGTTCGTTTGCTTGCCTGTTTATGTATGTGCGTTTGTGTGTATGTTTGTGTGCATGAGCACAAACGACCAAATGATTGAGTGAGCAAATTGACTTGTAGGTGTTGAACATTCAGCTTGTACAAATAAATTTTTCGCAGAGAGTGTGCTGTCGCACTTAATGTAGCTTGTTTACGGCTGCTGCTACTGTTCATGAAACATCATCATGCATACGAAGTAGAAAGGCAAAGAAGAAGAAAAAAAAGAGTAAACAACTTCATAGAATTTTCTGCGCATAAATAATTGTATGTGACTTTATCTAATGAACACCATTTCAATGCTCGTTCATTCTTCTTCTTTTCTCTCTCTCTCTATCTCTCGCTGTCTCTCTATTAACGTGTTTCTATTTCTTCGTTCTTGATTTCAACATGAAAAACTAGTTCGTTCTCTCACTCTCCGGCGCAATTCAAAATTACATTGCATTGCATTGTCGATTCTGATTAATTTATAGCATTATCTCTAGTAAAAACGAAAACTTCTGACCACAAACACTGCACGCTCATTCAAATATTCCTGCAATATCACACAGCACACACAGTGCATATTATTGTGGAAATTAACGAAACAAAATATGAAGATGATATTTTGTTTGTGATGAAACAATGTGAAGAGCAACAAAAATGAGATGTATAAAGATCGCCCAGGCACCCACTCACAAAAAAATGTGCTGCTCATTCTCGCTTTTTATTCTTCTTCAGCTTTTTATTTCTCCATAAGTGTGTGCAACATGCTCATGAACGACATATCATTTATTTTTCGGTTTTATTTCATTCTTTTCTGTTTGGTTTTCATTTTTGCTTCGATTTTGCTTTGAACAAATAGAAAGAGACCTAAAGAGACGCGATATATTACATATTTTTTGAAGAGCACACACACATGTATACATGCAACACACACCGAATCCGAATCCGAATGAGTATTTGTACATTTCATTTTATTTGGAATGATATTTTAGTGTTGAATTATATGAGAGTAGAAAAAAAGGCAAACAAGGGGCAATAAATGCATTTAGCGGAGAACTCAAGCACACTCAGCATACAGGCTGTCGAGAGAAAGCAAAGCGCAAAATGTGAGTGCGAGAGAAGGCACCGAATAGAAAGAGAATGAGAAAAAAAAGTGCATGAAAGATCGGCTACAACCGAACACTGTTCGAAAAACTACTGCGAACTAAGCCCCCGATGAGTAAGAGAAAGCAATGTGTGTGTGCGTGTGTTATGTGCTTGTAAGTGTGTGTACGAAATATGAATGCTAGGAGAGAAAATACAGTTTAAGAGAGTGTGAGTGAACATTTTGGCCATTACCTACCTATACACGATGGTAATTTGCACAATCACATTCAGAGTCGATCAGATATCGAAACGAAACGTTTGTGGAGAGCGAACGCGATTGTGATATTTTATGCTTTTTAGAAGCATCAAAAGGAAGCGAGAACAAACGAAACGGTGTTTATTTTGCCTATAACAGTTTGTTTATTGTTTGCCAGAAAAAAGTTTTTTTTTTTCCTCCGTTCAACATTTACTTTATTGTCGACATTCATTTTTATATTGAAAGCGGTAACGACATTCAAAAATTATCCTCAATTTATCTTCGATCATTTGTGGATTGTGGAACGAGAGAGAGAGATAGAAAGAGAGAGACAAAAAATACCGGAAAAGAAAAACCGAGTGCAGTGATGCGAATGTGTATTAATTTTGTGCGATAGAAGTTAGTTGTGTGTGGTGCCGATGTTTTGAACTGGGAATAGTGTGAAATTTTCTAATCGTCAATTGTCGCCATATTTTTTTTTTACCGTAAGTTGGACCTCAACCTCGATCTATATTAATGCATACGCATGCACGTTTGAATGCGTACACATAAAAATGCAGAGCAAAACATAAAGAGAATCAAACATTCAAATCATTCTAAAGTCGCCATTTTAGTTTTCATTTCATGGATAATTTCATCATAGGTTGCATTGATTTGAAATTATAACAGGAACATTATTTGAGCAACGTTTCTTATTTTCATTCTCCCTCCTGTGATATTTCTGTCACTGTCTGTCGATATCTTTCAGTGAACGTTCAATAGTCATCTCCCCATTTTACACCGTTACCGTAAGAATCACGTTGTATATTTATTGTATGGTTGGTTCGGTCGAGTGTCGTTTTATCAACATTATGTGTTCGATTTTCGACTGCATTTTCCATCGTTTTCTTTTAAAATTCGAAGCACACACCGCATATAAATCGAACGATACGATTTTGAATGAGGTCAATCAAAAGTGTTTTGTGCAAATTGTTAACAGTATTACATACTGAACACATCATTAAAAACAAACGACGAAATAGAAAAGAAAAATAAAGAAAATATAATATATATGACATGAACGACTGAACTCCATTACAATACAAGCACATTTATAGTTTGAATAAGTTTGGAACTTGGAATGAAATGTTATTTGAAATTTAAAAAATAAAATAAAAATAGAAACACACACACACAGAGTAAGCAACAGCAAAAGCCAATGCGGCAAGCAATACACAGCTAAAAGTAAAATTAATTTGGTAAATTCAATACTTACGACAATAATACATAATAAAGAGGTTGTGCGGTACACAAATTGTAAATAAAATTGAAGAAGAAAAAAAAAACACAGCCACACTTCGTTTTGAGCATTGCCGTCTCATGGCGCATACGATTTTTGTGCTTCGATACTTTCGATATTTGCATTTGTAAATAAATGTAAATAAAAAAAAATTATTAATTTTTCTTGTTAAATTAAATGCGACCCAAAAAAGAACGATCGACACAATTTTATTTTTACTATTGTATGTGACTTTTTTCCATCTTTTTTGTCCCCAGAAATACTGCTCATTGCATTTTTTCTCTTATTCTTCTCTCTTTCTCTCTCACTCTGGTCTATTTGCTGCATATTAAAATCTCTCAATAATTCTAATAAAGAATCATAGCCTCAAACTATGCACTCGATATTATGGTAGCGCGCCATGAGATCGTCGTTACATTATGTGCTTACTCATGCTGAAATTAATGATAAATCGTTGCTATAATATTCTATTTGTCGCTTACATTTCATTCTCTGTATATGTGGATGTCTGACATGTTTATGTGTGCCATTTCCTCCCCTTTTGTATTCAAATGCTAAACTCGATCAGTGTTACAGCTTGGAATTATTGAGCGCTGTTTTTTTCTAAACTGACAAATCGATTATTTTGAAGCATGTCAATTTGTAGCATACAGAGACAAAAAACTATGCTCTATCTGCTGCAAGCAGTGAAAAATAACACTCATCAATGGCATTCATCTCACATTTTAAATGCTGACGAATTATCTGAATTCCCCACGTGTCTCGACTGAATTTGTTTTTTTTTATTGTGTGTTCGATTTGCTAATCCTCATTGAACGAATAAATTATATATGATCATTTTAACTGAACAGTTTTTATTTCGGCAATTAAATAATTAAATCTGTTTCGAACATTGACAACAAGCGATAGAGACAACGAAAAAAAAACATAATGGACAATGATTGTAAGCATGGAGTCATGTTTTTTTCCCTTCTTGCTGCTCGCGTGTTTGTTGGATTGTCATTGAAAAGTATGTTTGCTACTCTTGCGCAAGCCAAAGTTTAAACAACAACAAAACCCATTTATCGAATGATGAGGAATGACGCATACAAAAACGACCTATCACACTTCAAAAAACTGGTCTTAAAATATTGTGTGTTCTTTTTCACCTTCTCTCATCTCACGAGCAACGCGCGTCAATTGTGCTGGAGCATTTGTTTATCGAAAATATATTTCGTTTTTTGTTTTGACCAATTTTCGATGGTTTTGTTTGAAATGGGTTCTACCTAAGCTGTCACAGCTACCATTATTTAATAAATTTCGATTCGCTGATTAAGATTTTTGACTTTGATTGCTGAACGATTTTTCATTCGTTCATTATTCGCTGTTTTTTTTATTAACTTTAAGTTTTTGCAATGTTTTGCGTTCAATCGAGTTTTAATGGTTTGTTTTTTTATTTCCTTTTTTATTTACAGACACATAAAAACATAGAATAGAGGCAACGGGATAAGAACATTTAAACCAGCAAAATTGTTGTTGGATCATCACGAATAACCAACAAAATGGATGATGATCAACAGTTTTGTCTGCGGTGGAACAATCACCAGAGCACATTGATCAGTGTATTTGACACCCTTTTGGAAAATGGTACATTGGTTGACTGTACATTAGCCGCCGAAGGAAAATTTTTGAAGGCACATAAGGTGGTCTTATGTGCGTGCAGTCCATATTTTGCGGTAAGTTATCATCTCTCTCTCTCTCTCTCTCGCATTAGAATGAATAAAAATAAAATACAAAAATAAATATTACTTAATACTTGAAAATCAAGTTTGAATCCACATGTTTTGGAAAAACCCACAGTTGAACAAACAAACATCTTTCCGAACTTAACTTGCTTATGTAAAATAAAATCTATATTTATGTGTGTTTTCTCTCTCTTTCTCTCCTCAATTACAGTCACTTCTTTCGCAACAATATGACAAACATCCGATATTCATCCTCAAGGATGTTAAATTCCAAGAGCTTCGAGCCATGATGGACTACATGTACCGTGGCGAAGTCAATATTTCGCAAGATCAATTGGCTGCACTATTGAAAGCGGCCGAATCATTGCAAATTAAAGGTCTATCGGATAATCGAAGTGGATCGTCGGCCAAGGGTGTTGACAATGCACAACAACAGAAACAGCAAGTACCTGTAAGCGGTGGTGCAGCTGGTTCAGCTGCCAAAACGGGTTTGACCATTGAACAAAACAATAAAAGACCAAATGCGGAATTGCCTGGAGGTAAGCGATATATCGATATCAATTGATTTTTTTTTTCAATTGTGTTTTCACACACTTTTGGCGGCCCTAATAAATTTATGAACATTTTTCTAATAAAAACTATTTTGATTTATTTTTTTTATTCAGATCGAGAAGGTTCCACTAGTCCATTGTCACGCAAACGAAAACGAGTTCGTCGTCGCAGCGTCGATACAAATAATGCGGCCGCAACAATTGATAATCATGATCAAATGTCGAATTCATCATCACAATCGGCCACACAACAAGCGCAACCGATTACAAGCACACCGTTAACGCTATCACAAATTACCACAGCTACCTCTGCCGCAAATGTATTGAACGTTACCAAAAAGACTGACAACAATTCAAATGGTATGTTGACTCTCTCGTTTCTCTCTCTATCTCTCTTTCAAATGAACAAATCGCTAATAAATTTCTTGATTTTCCCAACAACAAAAAAAAAACAGACGACGACGATGATGATGATGATGAGGAAGAACCAACAATCGTTCGGCACAAAACTCGCAACACAGATGGCTCGAATAAGGACAAGATCGATTCGGAATTGTTAATTGAACCAAAAAGCGAATACGAAGATGGTAACGATGAAACCGTCGAAGATCTAACAATGGCTGATGAAGAACTGATGGAAGACATGGAACAGGCGGGACCGAGTCACGGTGGCGAAGGTTCTAGTCAAGGTAAATATCATATTTTTTTTCACGCTTCACACTGGCAAAACAATAAACCAAATACATTTCGACATTTTATTTATGCATTTGTTATTTTCAAATCAGGTTACACTCAATGGCAAGTGGATCGATCTCAGGATGAAGTTTATTTGGCAACACAAGAAGCTGGTCAACATCGCGATGCTCAAGGTGAGTTAAATCAAACGATTACATACCTTCGATAAGGAATTGGCGATAATATTTCAATGCAAACTTCATTTTTAATCGATTTAATTGAGAGTCGCACTCAAAAAAGCGACTATAATTTTACTCTAAAGCAAACATGTGTTTGGTTGCATTGTTTTGTTATCGCAAATTGTTTATTTGTGTGTTACCGTAGATACGTAACTGAAGAATATATAGAGAGCTTGCATATTTTGAACAAATTGCACTGCGACCACATCATTTCCAATTGCGAATTGAAAATGTTTCGAATTCAGATACATAACAGGCAACACAATAATTAGTTTCGGCGATTGGAAATGGTATGGAAATATGATGAAATGAATTTGTATCCCATTCGTTTGAAAATGAATCGAAAAATATACACAGAAAATGGATAAATTGCTCTTTTGTATCATTGGTTTGGTCAGTTTCACAAAAACGATTACTATTTCGCATCGTTCACATGGTTCTTCTCAAATTTTCATCAAATCAGTGTTGTTGTTGTATTTTTTTGTTGAAATTTTACATCCTAAATTTACCAAGAGTTTTGCCATAATTTCAAATTGTATGTGACTTAATTGTTTATTTTGTTTCGATAATTTTTGAATTGGTTATTAATATTGATTGAACAAACAAAAAAAAAAGAATGTGTTAGTAAATTCGATGAACCGGTGACTGAAAGAAGAACAATTCGACGATGGATCATACCACAAAAACTAAGGTAGGTGTGAGAAGACATGTGAGCGATAAAAATTTTCGCAAACTTTACAATATTTTGAGAAAAACAGAAGAGAAAACCGACAAACATCCATTTTAATCAATTGGTACCGAAAAAAAGAAAAAAAATCGTTTTCATCATATTTGCATCGCATGGGCATATGTTTTCTTTTAAGTATGTTGATATTTGATTTGTAAATTGTTTGATTTTATTTGAGACCAAAATGAAAAACATAAAGAAAAACAAATATGTATTCACAATTATAATTTTTATTCTATATTTACTTGTTTATATACCTTTGGTTAGTTTGGAAAAGTTGAAGAAACAAGAATTTATTTAATTTACATTTCATCTCAGAATGGATTTAATTTTGTTGTTTAATCCTTTTTTTCATCGAAAAGGAACAAACATTATTTAAAAACAAACAAACAAAAAACTAATGGTGATTGTGTAGCATTGAAACATTTACTTTATTTATTTATTTTTGATCGTTTATTTATTCGTTTTTATTTACATTTGCGCTAAACTCCGTCGAAAATATTGAAATGAAAAAAACAGAACAATGAATTTTCTTCGGCATCTTTGTTCTTCAAAAGAAAAAAATAATAATTCAAACCACCGTGCGGACTTAAAATGCACCCTCCGTTAAATTTGGATCAATTTTATTCGGTTTTTATGATTTCATCATTTCTATTTTTTGATTTCAATATTTTTGATTTTATTCACACTGGTTTGTTTTTGGATATCACAACCAAAATAACCACTTGCTTTGCTATTTTCATATTTTGATTCATCTTATTTATTTTCTCTGAATATTTAATTTTTTCAAATTGTTAATTTAATTTCAATCTCTCAAATAAACTTGATCGCTCTCAATCTCGAATGCTTAAAACTGTATAATTGAGCGATGAGAAAAGCAACAAATTTCGAGCGGTTGAAATTAAATTGGCAATTAATTTCATTCATATTTTATTCGTTTGTCCTTTAATCCTTTTTAATTGCTATTGTTGAAACAATGAAAACGCATGCGCCACTCTTTTTTTTTTTGTTAATATTCGGTTAAGTTTTTTATTTGCAACTTTATTATTTTATTTTTGGCGATTACTTTCCTTCGTTTTTGTAAAACTTCCTTGATTTCTTTGCAAGGCGTGCGCTCTTTTTTATGAAATCGTTATCAGAATGAACGCGCGCGTAATTTTTTTTTTCGAAAGATCGTGACTTTCCGGAGCTTTTTTTTTAATCGGATCGCGTTTTGATTATTTTTGTCGTTCACGTTTCGCGTGAAACTTTCGATTTATTTTTTTTTCTCGGTTCGATGCGATTTGAATCAATTATTTATTTTCGAAATGTGCAGTGAATTGATCAGAAAAAAGTGCAAGTGTTAAGTGTATTTGTTGTGAAAAATAAATGGAGCTGCTTCAATGGAATCATATTTTGGCTGGATGCTGTTGTACGGATTGAACGATGATCATCATTTGGTAATTGTAGCTGTAAATTTTAATTAATTTATAGTGAGGTAACTGGTAATTTTGGGTAATTCGTAGCTGTAATCGAATCGTGAAAGATTCACACCGATCATCTCAACGTCATCATTCTGGGTAAATATTTGTAAAATGAGTTGTGAGTTTTTTTCAATTCACAATGAATCGATTATAAGGGTGTAAGTATGCCATTCACGGAAAGTATCGTTTCCTGGATGAAAAACAAAAATCATTGCCTTCCATTCCCTATATAAACATTGAAATTACAGCGGATTTTTAAGCGATGAGCATTTGGGCTTCGCATTTCACACACGCACACAAGCAAATATACAGCAATATCATGTGACTATAGATTCACATGCACGTCAGTGGTTTTTCTCTAAAAAAAACATAAGGTAAAAGATAAAGCAATATTATTTAACTTTAAAACACTTTGCAAAAACGATCGTATGCAATTGAAGTCAGGTGAAAAGCAATCGTTTTAAATTTGTACGATACTTTTGATCACATTGCTTCTGATTTTGAAATTGTGATTTTAAAATGAATGCCAAAATTATTCTTTGGTAAAACATAAACTGGATTTTTGCTTTGAACAATAGCTCAAAAGCGCTTCATTTTGTTCTAAATATATTTCAGTTCAATTTCTTCTTCTTTTTTTAATTTATGACCATGTAAAATTCCTATTCGAGAATCATACAACGCAAAAATCTTATTCGACTCAAATAATTCGAGTTTCTTAATAAAAACCGCAACACATAAACACAGCCTACTCATGTGCAAGGCGCATAAATAAAATGAATATTTTCATCTTATTGTCATCATTCTAGTTTTACTGGTTTTGTATGCAGATGAATTTCTAAGAATATTAAGAAGAAGAAAAAAAGCAATCTCGTTTTCCATTTCGTTACGAATCACAATGATCACTGAAAGTGATTTGCATAGTATATCCAAGAATGCATTCTTCTCAAATAAAAATAAATAAATCCGTACACAAAACAAATTTTGATATATACAATTGAATGTCACAAGAAAAGAGACATTTTACCGTCGAAAATACATGATATTTTTAACTTTTCATCTAAAGTTCACTAGATGATATTTTGAATATGCTTGCTTTGCATTCGTTCACTGGATTCATTCTTAAAATTCGATTCGTTTTTTTTTTTTTTGAACTTCAGAATTGATTCTCAATTTTAATACAATTCAAGCATTCATTGAAAGAAAAAAAAAATTTGCAAAAAAAAAACTTAAATGAGAAAAAACCACTGAATACGTGAACAAAATTGCTCATATTTGTCAGGTAAGAACCTTGGTTTAAACTCTTTTTAAGACTCTACTTACTTTAGAGCACTACGAAATACACACAAATTCGCCGGATTTTTTTGAATTCGTTCGTAAAAAATATGAATTGTTGAAATTTTCATTTTGAAAATTAGCATTTTTTTCCCTCAATAACATTCACGCCCATAATACAACAAATGACCTTGAACTTGTTGATGGTGCAAATTTGTTCAATTTATTCAAATAGAATCAGTCATGGTTGACTGAATTAATTGAGAATATGAAAATTTCAACAATTTTATTTTGAATTCAACTTTAAAGCACTCAAAGAAACGCGCCCACGATAATCGCAATCGATCCTTAATCGATCTGACAGAGATGCACCATCCCAGGCTGGCTCCAAATCCAGCATATTTCTTAATACTGACGTTCTTAACCAGATTAACTGAACCGATTCTATCTAATAAGACATTATTAACAGAAACAGAAATTTGGACACCATTTTAAGCTATTCTACAATATATTTTTTTCTATTTGTAAGAAAGATCGCGAATTAGAACTCTATTTCAGTCAGAATATTTTTAATTTCAAACGATTTTGTCAACGATTCATCATGAAAACAAAGAAAATTCTTTCACCTTTTTCTTTATTCGTTATTCAAATGAAATTAATTTGATCAATAAATATTTTAATCAATATTCTTACTACGAAAAAAATGATAAAATTAGTCGATTTAACATTAGAGTCAACATTGTGATAAAAGTGAATAATTTTTTAAAAAAAATTACTTTTTTGTGCACAATATGGAAACTGGGTGGAATTTTGTACAGTTTAAAAAGTTGTAGAACTCTCGAAAAGGAACAACTTTTGCAAAATCCATAAAATTCTACCAATTTCCTTTTTTGTACAATATCAGTGAAAAATTGGCAGTCGCAATTTTTTTTCTTTTCGTAAAATATTCTCGCGTGCCATGCCCTTATTTTAAGATTCGATATTTTTTCATACTACATTCTCATCGACGTTAAAAATTCAATTAAAAATTATATTCAATTTGTGTAATGTTTCATCAAATGCTCATTTATAGCATAGAATAATTTATAATTCAATAATTATTAAATAGAACGTCTTTCCCACATTTTCCTCTCTCACGCGTAAAACATCCGAAAATAATGCGGAATCCGATAAAAAAAATATTTTTCAAAAAAAAAAAAAATCCAATAGATAGTTTGACTTTTCAAAGTCTCAAATTCTTATTCGATTTTCGAAACAATTTCCAACTAAATTATTTTATTCGAATTTATTTCGATTATTTCAAACGCAATTGCCAAATCAAACGGCAATGGCAAATCTCTTATTTTATGAAAAATCGTTGACAAAAATATCAAAATCGTTCATCATTGTTCTTTCTGTTAGTCTTGTTTTTTTTTATTTGCAACTGTGATAAATTCTTTTTTATAATCTAAAATATTTAAAGCTACAAAATAAAATACTTTTGAATAAATGAT